TATATTCTTATTTATAGCATACGCTAAGAGTTTAGCTAATGTATGCTTACTCTAATTCTATAGCCTATATTATAACTAGCATAGGCTGTTATAGAGCTCTACTAAATACTCTTTTTACTGCAGAATATATTATACTAGATAAGAAGATTAACTTCTGCCTAACTAGTGCATGCTTTCTAGAGACGTCCTAGTAAATAACGCTTATTATTTACTATAACCTATATTCTTAGCTATCTATATACTTAGACTATTGCTATAGAAGGCTGTTTCTATGCTAAGCAAATTATAGAATAGGATGCTATAAGACTTATTGCAGAAAGCTGCGAACTTAGAGATAGTAAAGTATATAGAGAGTAGTAGCAGCAATAACTAGCTTTCTAAGAATACTAAAGCTCTACTCTCTAGTTCTCTAGCTTATTTAAAATAGAGCTACTGCTAGTATAAAGTCTAGGTCTAGTCTAATTGCTCTAGTCTCTAGCTCTTTTCTAATAGAATAAGCTAGCTACTATAGTGCCTTAACCTAATGCTTTCTCTAACGCTCTTAATTAGATACCTTCTCTATTTTGCACTTAGATAAGATCTTAATAGAAAAGCCTAATATAAGCTTATACTCTAGCTGCTATACTAAGCTTGCTAGTAATCTCTGCTCTTATACTAGGTATACCTATAGCCTTAGAAGCATACTAACGCTAAAACTAACTACTTTATTTTATAGATAGACTAAAAAATTCTTTAGCATATTATATACTTTAAGAGACTTTAAGAGAATAATTAAGATATATAGTGCAATACTTATCTTAGCTAGAACGCTTGCTAATTCTGCCTCTACTCTAACTAGTACCTATAGCAATAAATTATTACTCTACTATTAAGAAAGAAGAACTAGAATAGGCGCCTCTACTAGCATACTAGAAGCTAAGCTTACTACTACTACGCTTTACGTAACTAATAGAATATATTTATGTTCTACTATAGATAGTATCTAATATACTACTAGTAGAATAAATAGAATAACTAGCACCTAGAGCATAATTAGCTATTAAATTAGAAGATGTTACTATACTGCAAAGGTTACTTAGTGTAATAGCTAATGCAGAAAACTCTAATTATATATCTATTATAGAACTATAACTTAGCTCTAGCTAGCGTTCTAAGTTACTAGTACTATCTGCTAACCTGCTCTTAGCACTATTATAGACGTAATAACTGCAATAACTTCTAGTAGTGCTCTAAGATAGCAGTGCGCTAGATCTTATCTAATACTTCTTACAGCAATTGCTAGCACAGCGCCTCTTCTAAGATAATAATACTACGCAGCAACTCTATTATCTACGTTAGATATTATCTCTACCTATAAATCTTCTAAGCCTAAACTAGCTTTAATTGCATTCTAGTTACTATACTATGCGTAATCTAGATACTCTATTTTTCTAGGCATAGAAATAATAGTTAGTAAAGATACTTGCGATAATGCAAGGAGAACTGCGCAATAATCTTAGAGAATTTGCAGAGCAATTACGTACTACTACTCTATTCTAGTACTCTTAATAAGGTAAGGCCTTAGCGCAGTTATACTTAATAACTAAAGAATAAGATAGAATATTCTCTCTCTAATATATAGTATATACCTACTTACTAGTGCGCGCAAGCTATAGATTTTAAGATAACTTATCTTATTATAGAAGTAAGGCTCTAGCTCTCTTGCCTAGAAGATTAGACTACTAGTATAAGTAAACTCTCTTACTAAGAAGTAAGAGTAGTATAAGCTAAAGATACAGCAGATATTAGCTCTCTATGCGCAAATTATATATAGTAGAAGATAATAAGCGTATTAAATAGATAGGCAGTACGATTAAATTTTATACTAATACTATTAGCTATTTTTTCCTAAATATATTGCATACTAAGCACTCTAAGAATATAGTTAAGATTAGAGAGCATATGCACTACTACTACGTAAGAGATTTTATTAATATAGCAGAGTAAGCTATCCTTATCTACTCTATGCTAGAATATATTATTTATAATAACTTGCATATATACTTTAAAGGCATAGTAATTCTCTAGTTCTAGTCTAAATTAAGTATAACAGCAAAACTGCAAGTTCTAGATAATAAGAGTATTATAGAATAGGTAAAGATATTAATAAGAAAATACTACTAATAACCTATAATTGCACTTAAGCAGCTTATAAGTAAAACCTATATAACTAGTAACTTTATTAAGAATTAATCTCTAGCAGAATAGTATATAATAGTAATACAGCTATGCTAGAACGTAGAACTTAGAAGATAATACTAGTATGCAGCATAAGCTTAGAACTTTCTAGATCTATAGTTCTAGATATTTATACTAATGCTATTAAGAGATACAGTATTAAGTAACTTTATCTATATATTAGAGGAGAAGTTTCTAGTACTGCGCCTATAACTGCTTACAAACTAGTAGCATAATAGTAAGTATAATTTCTACTAGTTTGCTAATAATCTAAGGTTATAAGAAGTTAGAATTCTAGTAAATAAGAATAACTATGCTAACAGTTACTCCTATCTCTAAGTTTTAAACTCTTACTACTAAGATTAACAGACTAGTGCTTAGTCTAATTACTCTAGCCTCTAATCTAACTATAATATATAGAAAACTAGAGAACCTATAAATAGTTACGCTTTAAGAAACTATAGAAATAGTCTACCTGCGCAGAACTTCTAGCTAAGTAACTAAAGGCTGTCTAATAAGAAAAATAGATACTATAACTAGAATAATTAAAATATAGGCTAACTACAGCGCAAGAATATAAAGTAAAATAATAATCTATAATATAATAAGCTGCAGAGAGTCTACTATAGACAACCTAATAAGGCCTCTCTAAGTCCTATTTAGAAACGTACTAAGCATAGAAAGCAATCTATATCTTATAAAGCAGACTATAATAACGCCTAGAATAGAGATGCATAGAACTAGAATAATAAGCTGAAGAAATTAGAGTTAGTATAAGAATTATAACTGCGTAGTATTGCTAGTAGAACTGCCACTATTCTAACTATAATAATAATAAGCGTAATAAC